GTCCGGGACACGAACCGCGGTTGACTACGTGGGAGTCCAGCGACATAGCCATTACGCTAACTGCTAGTTCCCGAAGTCTGAGAGGGTTTTTAAAAGACCCCTGAGCTGGGCCAGATAGCCAGATTATGGATATTCTAAACTCCTTCCCTACCCCACCCCCAAACATCATCTTAGTTCCACTCCTGGCCCTAACCTGCTACAAGTCCCCACCCAGGTCCTTCCTATCTCATCATTGCACATGGCAAAACTTGAAAGTCCGATCTCAAAGCAGCAAAATTATCAACTCTGTCTGCCTTGCTATAAATAGAGAAGAGCAGGGACTTAAGAAAGGAGTCTGAATCCTTAGTTACTGGTGTACCTCATTAAGTTACCTGGGGCATGATCCTGTTCCTCTGGGTATTGATCACGGGGATCTGTGCATATCTTTCTCCTCCTTGTCTCTAGGTAAGGCCTTTGGCTGTGTGGGCGGCTACATTGCCAGTACCCACGATTTGGTGGACATGGTACGCTCCTATGCCTCAGGATTCATCTTCACAACTTCACTGCCCCCCATGGTGCTCTCTGGGGCTCTGGAATCAGTGCGGCTGCTCAAGGGAGAGGAGGGTCAAGCTCTGAGGAGGGCCCACCAGCGCAATGTCAAGCACATGCGCCAGCTACTAATGGACAGGGGTCTTCCCGTCATTCCCTGTCCCAGCCACATCATCCCCATCCGGGTGAGAGTACCACTTTCCCACTGCCTTACCTATCTATCTCTTCTGGGAGTCTTCCTACTGCCAACGAAATGATGCCTGCTCTTGTCGTCAACCCTTTGCTTTCCTGTTAACTATCCTCTTTACTGCTGCCAGCTTTGTTCCCCTTTTGGAAAAAGTATCAGTCATTCTGGATTAATCAACCTTTCTTTTTGCACTATTACCTCATGCTTCTTAGACTTCCCTGGTTCTCACAATACTGAGTACACATGGCCTATAATTCAGTGTTTTTCAAATTCTGGGTTAAGACCATTAGGGTGACAAAAACAGTTTAGCTGGTTATGACCAGTATTAAAACATAGACAATATAGAATAGAAAATGTTAAAATATATTACACATAGTAAAGGTACCATTTAGTGAGAAATTTATTTCAGTTTTGTATATGTGTATATGTACATATGTGCATATAAATGTGTATCTATGTTCATGATATAAAATGCATTTCTTACTGAGAATTCAGGTCAGAAAAACTAAATCAGACCTAGTCTCAGTGTTGCAGTTGGTACTGTACTGAACTGCAATACACTGGCCACTGTGTTTTATATCTTCAGCCCTGTCAATCTGATACATACTGGATGCACTCACACATGCCCAAACTCCTGACAAGCTAAAGGGTTGAGGAAAGAGGATCAGTGTGACAAGAACCTGTCAAGAATGTCTCTCTTTCTCACATATATACTCTCTATCATGAATAAAATAAACTTAAAAAAAATCAAAAGCTAAAGGACTGGGACCAGCAGATGCATAATGGTTACGTTATTGGACTTCCATGTAGTAGACACAGTTCGAGTCCTGGACCCAGTGACTTAAACCTCACACCAGGTGTGTGTGTGTGTGTGTGTGTGTGTGTGCATGCATGCCCCAAATCCCGAGGAGCATGGAGAAGGGACTGCAGCATGGCCATCGTCCCTGGGGGGTGATTTTTCACTTTCTGTCTCTCTCTTTGGCAAGAGCACGTACCCCATAGCAAAACACACACACACACACACACACACACACACAAACGATGTCTCTCTTTAAAAAAGAAAGAAAAAAAAGCTACAGGACTCACTGCTGTTTTGGATACCCAACTATAAGTGATCACTGACTTTAACAATGAACTGCTATGGGGCTAGTAGGTGGCGTAGTGGTTAAGGCGCTGGACTCCCACATGGGTGAGTCCATGGTTTGAGTCCTAGACACCTGGTTGCTTGAAAATCATACTGGGCACATGTGTATCCACGTTCAAAATCTCAGGAGGTGAATAGAGAAGGAACTGCAACATGGCCATCTCCCCTGGGGGGTGATTTCTCACTTTCCTTCTCACTGTGTCTCTCTCCAGTGAGCACATGTGCCCTATGGCAAAAACCTTAAAAAAAAAAAAATGAACTGCTGAGCCCAGCCATGCTGGCAAGTGCTGCTAAGATTCTGTGCTTTGCAGGCTAGAACCATGTGGAAGGCCCAGTTCCACTTCTGATCCAATCTAAAGGTCAGGCTTTATGGCACATGCCTATAATCCTGGTGACTTGGGAGGCTGAGACAGGAGGATTGAGAGCTCAAGCCTGGCCTGATAACACAGCGAGACCCTATCTGAAAAACAGCCAGGTATGACTGTCCACACCTGTAGTCTCACTCAGCTGGTAGACTGAGGAGGATCACATTGTGAGACCCTGTCTTTTAAAAAAATGAACTGCTACTTTTTTCCATTTGTGTGTGCTCACCAGAGGGAGAGAGCACATCCAATGGGATGTGGCCTTACCACAGCCCCTTCTCTTCTATCCTATAGGGATTTGGGACATGCACACACATGGCATATCTCTCAAGTTGCCAAGACCAGGATTCAAATTTATTCAAACCAAAGCCAGTGATGTGGGATTCAGTTCTCTTAACCATAGGGCTAGTTCGACTGATAGTTTTTGCTTAAAGTATATTTATTTATGCGAGTTGGTAAGCCAGGGTGTGGGAAGAAAACTTTTGTGTGACAATTTTATGGAGGATTAGTAAACGATACTACTCCTGAGGCTAAGCCAATGTTCACTTGAAAGAGTGCTTTTTAAAATACCTGTTACTTGAATTAATTCAATGGCAAATCCCAGAGGTGGCTTGCAAGAATTCGTCCTCTTACCCAGAACCACCTCAGATTAACATACTAGCTAAATTAAGCTAATGTAGTCGGTCTGCAAACAGATTCAAGGTAAGATCCCTGGTGCTACCTCTGCCCTGCCCCTTTCAAACATGATTGCTGGCTCTGAGATCCACCTTGACAGAAATTGTGAAGCTACCACTAAGCCCCTTATGAAAATACCTGACTTAATATTTTCAGTGGCGTTTCTTGATCTGGTTCCCTACTCCTGCTTAATGGAGATAGTGATGGTGGGGCCAGGGTGGAAGGTACTGACAGGCCTTCTTTTGAGCCCAGGTGGGTGATGCAGCAATGAACAGCAAGATCTGTGACCTCCTGCTCTCCAAGCATGGCATCTACGTGCAGGCCATCAACTACCCAACTGTTCCCCGGGGTGAGGAACTGCTGCGCCTGGCACCCTCCCCCCACCACAGCCCTCAGATGATGGAAGATTTTGTAGGTAAGTCTTCAACATAGGTGTCTACAGCATTTCCTCACCCCTCAGTCCTAATATATTAAGGAGAAGCTGAGAGGACAGAAGCCATCAATTTTAAAAATGTTTCTAGAACATCTGTTGTGTGTCAGGCTCTATATCAGCATTGCAAATAAATGAGAATTAGGCCCTAGGCTTGTAAGATTTTAGTTTGGTTAAGGAGATCATGGAAAACACAAACCAATGACATCAGGAAATGATCAAAGGTCAACAAAGATAATGCATGAGGGAGTTGTGCGAACTAAAAGGAGGGGTCTCACCCTGTCTCAGGGACTCAAGACAGGCTTCCTATTGGGGATGACACCTGAGCTGAGTCTTGCAAGGAGAGTGGTATTGAATGAAGGGAAGACAATGGACATAGAAAAGATATTCCTAACAGAGAAAACAGCATGAAGAAAGGCAAGGAGGAGTTTAGGAAGCAGCCTGGAGTACATTAAGAACAATAAGCAAGTGTTATTGGAATGTGGAATAGTATGCATATAGTAGGGGAGAGGAATCTGAGTCTGTAAAGTCTGCCCAAGAAGGAGACTTGATTGAGAGGCTTGAAGAGCTGAACAGTTTTTGTTTTACCCTGAAAGATGTCAGTTTTGTCAACCCACCTGAAGTTTACTGGATTCAAGTTGGGTACAGTTTTTTTTTTTTTTTTTTTTTTTTTTTTTTTTTTTTTGAGGTTTTTTACTTCGAT